TGAGAAACGTGTTGATGTAGATGATGTATGATGTGCGCCCTGGGAATAGGCGAATGGGCATGACAGGTTCCGAGGGAATTCCGGAAGCTTCATATATAACGAACCCGACAAGGCCGAGGAGACCGATTATCAGAGGAGCTAGGATTCGAGCATCGGACCACGGATAAACTGGACCTGCCCAGGTGAGGGCAATGAGAATCGAAACGCTTGACGCGATGAGGATAGCGTTGCCAATGTAATCAATACGACGGAGTTTATCCATGGTTGATTGAGTTCGATCGTATTGGAGGTTGAGAAAGAAGTATGTAACGACAATAGCAACACCTCCGATGGGAAGATTGAGGTAGAACACCTAACGAGTCAGTATATGCCTGCATATGTCATTGATCTGCTTACCCATCTCCAAGTCGTGTTCTCAACAATAACACCACCAAGAAAAGGCCCAACAGCGAAGCCAATAGTCGCTACTAATAGAAGGATAGCGATGTAGTTTCCTCTGTATCGAAGCGGTACTAGATCAGAGATGATCACATCATTGACCATTGTAACTCCACCACTACCGATACCTTGAATAGCACGTCCAGCGATGAGCATTGCGCCGCCGTTAGCACCACCTGCGATACCACTTCCAAGTGTATATGTAGCAAAGATGAACATCATAACTTTCTTGCGGCCCCAGAGATTGCAGAGTTGGCCAAACATGGGCTGGACACAAGCTCTGTATCATGTTAGCCACTTCGAGAAATCGGAAGGGGGACTTACGTGGTGAGAAAGAAGACATTAGTAACCCAGATGTAACTACTCCCAAGATTGAGACTCTCGACGATGGTTGGAAGAGAAGTTATGACGACTGTTGCTTCGAGAGATGCAAGGAGTGTTGCCAGGACTAAAGTAACCATGATCATCCAGAAGCGATAATCTCTATTGAAAGCCGGCTTTGTTTTTGGAGTCACTGGTACTTGAGCTTCTTCATCTTCTTGGGCTGTTTTCGTCTGGTCCGACGAGTTGACGGAGGGTGGTGATGAGAGTGTCTGGTTAGATGCTTCGACCCTGTAAGGCGAGGCAGTATCTTTCATTTCTGCAGAAGCCATGATGATCACTGTGCAACAAGTCTGCTTGCCTTGGTGATATTGTCACATCCTTAGAGGAAGGATGCCAATTTATAAGAGACGTCTCTCAACTCATGAAGTAAGGAAGAGAAAACCGGAGGCTTTATAAAATGAACTACGACTTGCACAGGAAACTAATTGCTGACGAAATGCTCCGTGATATGAGATTTGTCAACTAAGCTAACTTATATACGGTAGCTTGTGTGATATCCTGTTGCTGGAGTTGGGCTTACGTTCGGATGCTTTCAATAGGAGTAAGCCTCCGTCCTATGAGACGCGGCGAATGTTTCACTCCGTCTTACTACCAGTCTAAGGATGTTATAAATTTTTGGCTATTCGGACAGAGAAACCTTTTATTGGATGTGCATTAGTTGCAATAATGAATATGTCAACTGTCGAAGTAAAGCTCATGTATATCGATATCATCTGAACCTCGATTTGCATCAAATCAGTCGAAGCTGTTGTCAATATGACCTAGTTAAAAAAATGAATGTTCGGGACAACAAGAGGCAAACGACAAAAAATACCAATCGACGCAGGCCTGATTCGAACAGACGCCTCCGAGGAGAATAGATTTCTAGTCTATCGCATTAGACCACTCTGCCACTGCGCCTTCTTATTGGATAAACTCTGTGGGTACAGGGTAGTACAAGTAGCCGGCATCTGCTGGAATGAGACGAGCCTAGAGTGAGACTCTATTCACACAATCACCATTGGAGACATGAGTATGAGATTTCTTTGCATTTTATGCTATGACTTATTAAATACTTAGTACCCTATTAACTCTCCTCTATTTATTCTTATTTCCAGGTATCTAGTTGTATGTAGATATAAATATTAGTTGAGATGGCTCGTGTAATTAACAGCCGAAGGTTTGGTAAATGTTGATGTGAGTTTTCAATTCAAGCCTTGGTGAAGTTGAGGATATAGCTCGAATTGCAAGCTCTCAGATCCCTCAATCGACGTTGTACCATAAAGCCTTCCCCAAGAGTTAAAAGATCCAGAGACTGGCCATTAGATTGGACATGAGACTCCTAGGTGATTCTCATGGTTCCAAAATTTAGTCCTGCAATAGCGAGTTGAAAAGGGATTGTAGGCCTGTCCTCCGTATGTGGCGGCTTTCTGGTGACGAAGAGTGAAATGTCGGGGGGGGGGGTTATTGCGATTCAGAGAAGATCACTGTTGGGAGAAGGGTCTTAGAGAAGGCTCTATTGCCAACATGAGATCCTGTGGCTTGATCGAATCTGGAGTCCAGTGTTGAGGTTATGACTTCGGAACCAGTAGTGTCTATCAAGAGGCAAAATATGACTGACCCCTTTCTAACATCAAAGGGGCTTAATAGTCTACCCCTTGGTGTGCCGGAGCATTTTCTGAGTATCTGTCTTTCGTGAAAGAGACGACATGTCAATCTTGTGCGATGCAAACAGAAAGGAATTTTTAGTTGCTGCGAGTGTTGGCTTGAAGAATACTTCGGATGCATGCATCACTCAGCACCATAGTAAACCGTAACCCAGCTCATGCTTCAAGTATAGCCCCGTCCTTCCTCGTGCTTCATAAATGGTATGCGCATGCTCCACGAGAAACGCTACTTTGTGCTTCCAAGATGGTTAGGCCAAAAGCCCAGGAGGAGATAATCGGTTGGAATTAGTCCAATAGGGTCTTATAGACCAGGCTCTTCTGGCGAGATATCTCTCACAGCCTGGATCATGACTCTCCACTTCTGCGATAACCTCATCAAGACGAACCTGAGTGTCTGTATTGATGACTGAGGCAGCATCTTTCATCTCGACATCAGTGAGACTCTTCTGTCTTGCAAGCCAGGCTTCAGCCTAAACAATACTATCAGTCTGGAAGTCAGTCGTAACGTCTCATGATGCGTTCGTTATGCGCCGATTTACATCAAACCGAGCTCCGTGGCGGCCGTCTTTCGTCACTGGCATGCTGGGTAGTTGTGTATACCTCGTGGAACATATCGTTCGCCCTGCGGGTTCGATGTTGATAGTGTGATTGAGTCCGAGGGTATCAATCCAGCTGATTTTGAAGAATAACCACACGGGGGTTTCCAGTAATTTCTTCAATCAAACTGCCCTTGCCTTTTGGCGTCTTTGAAAGGCAAGGCAATCAGAGCACGGCCTTCTTCGGATGGGCGGCTGAAGTCATGGACGTGTAATGTATCTCGGTATGTTAGCTAGGCTAAAAAGGTGTTAATTCCCTTGGTTGAGTCGTTTGTGTTTCTTCCTGCAATATCTGTCCGGGTCTGTTGAGCATCAACACCAACACCAACACCAAAATCAACCGCGGACGTAAGGCGAGATGAAGGAGCTCCCTCGTTCACGTAATGGACCAGTAAGCTCCTTCTCCAGTCTGCTAATCTCGTGCTTGTAGTCAGATCGCATGATTCCGTTCAGCCCCCGATAGAGCTTTTGCTGCGCCTTTTCCTGCAGTGCAACAATCTACCGCTCGATCTCACTGCATCTTCTCGCCTTGGTTAACTCTTCCAAGGAGATCAGGTATCCTTGTGAGACCATGAGAGAACACGGGCATTATTTTCGTGCAGGTCCAGGAGCTGACAGTGGTGTCGGCTGACCCAGTCTCCGTCAACGTTCTGGAAGCGGTACCAGAAGTTCACGGGGAAGGGGTGAGAAGTTCGTTTCTATTGTGCTGGGAAGTAGTTAGTAACAGGAGAAAGGCTCAGGTAGCTGTGCGTGCGTGACATACTGTTGGAAAAGAAGTTGATGGATATGCTCAATACACGGGGTTCGTCACCAATGAGGCTTAACATCTGTGTGAAAAAGCCCTTTCATATGTAGATACTCCACGGCCTGCCCAACTTGGAGCATGGCTCCTCTTTGAGCCTTGGAGTTCCATCTCGAGCTGGCTGTTTTCAATCTGCAGATTCTGACAGGCGACGAGTCATTAGGATGTCTTCGTGGCTGCAGATTTGTTAGCTCAATCCCCCGAGGTGATGGACTTCCCTGATTTGCACCTTGACTTGGTGCCGGAGAGTAGTGCTGGGCGTATACACCTGGGGGATTGGGGTATAGCTGATTAGAAAGCCTCGGTGAGTTGCCACGGGCTGTCTAATCGTAGCCGCGGACGTTTACGGCTTACTCGGTAACAACTGCTGAGTAGCCATAAGCTCGAGAGCACCCTGCGTCCTGTCGGGGCTTGGCGGAGGCGCCAGAGGGAAGTCTGTCGTAGGGATAGGTGGTGTTTTTGCAAAGAGGGACAACTTTATTGGGGACAGAGAGCGCTGCCTGCTTCCCCTCATGTACGTGACTCTATAGTATTGCTGTTATCGGGTCGACATCGACAGAGAGACTTGTGATGGTAGGCTTGTTGCTCATTTATGGAAAGACCTGAATCTGGTGGACTATATTCGGAGTACTCTCAAGAACAAGCCCGAGCGTCTCCTGATAACTACTAGCAACAGAAAGATCGAGCTCTTTGCTAGTTGCTACCATACAGTCGACTGGGGCGTATTCATTGTCGGTTTCGATGTAGTCAAGAACGTCTTGAGCTGGTTCTGTAGCCGCAACTCCTCTCGGCTGGTCTGGTGGCGGAGCTCTTTCAAGGACCAGCTCTGAAATGTTGAATTCGAGTGCCTGTGGCCGATCGTATCCCATGGGTTGGGCAAGTTTGTCTGGCATGACATTGTTTGGAGATAACTGAACGGGAGGGTCGCAGTTGATTTTTGTTTGCGGCCTTCACAGATCTTATCCTTTTGCTGTTCCGAAGCATAGCCTTGATCGCTGCGAAAGGCTTTTGTGGAAGACAAATCAAATTGTACGCATGCTAAAGGTTGCACAATTGTTTCCGTATTTCGATAGATCTAGACTCATCTATCCTTGGCTGTAGCGCCGGGATTTCTAGTCTTGATGGTCTCGGTGGTTAGAGACCGAGGAGTTCCGCTGGGCTTTGCTCATCATGGTTTTCCGCCAGCGTTACGTTGAGTGCATTTGGTGTAGGGTCTGATTGTAGCAAGACCGAGAGGAGAGACTTGGCAGTGGCACTATTTCTGTGAGCACCCGCAGACGAAAAAGAACCATTTGGACTTCACTTGGTCATACCAACCTACGAGTTGTCGTTAGCCATCTGTTCAAAGCCTCGCTTTTCGTCCTCAAGCTGATCGCATGTGCCTGCCGTCTCCAGACCGTGATTCGTTTCATAGTATGGTGTTCCTATGCATAAGTCTTGACAAGAATGTGCATTTTCGGGAGCTTATTCGTGATCAGATCATTTGAATGCGTCAACGCACGCGCAAGAATTGCAATCGTCTGATATTGGGGCGGTAGTGCTTGAATGTTCAATCGTTCGATCAATCATGCCGAAAGGCTTCCTCTTATTTCGCTGTATCTGCTGGAAGCCCCTGGTGAAGACTCTCACCTAGACAGCCGTATTGGAGTTGCTTGCTCTTCTCACTAAGAGCGGCATTCCTGATCGAGAGGTCATTGTTGAGGGCTGATAGGAAAATCTTACTGCTATCAAGGCCATTAACCTCTGCAGTGGGCTTTTCAAGGCGCTCCTTAACAACCTTTGTCACCGTCACAGACAGCTCATGTCTCTCACGGAGCCAGCCATATTTGGCGCCAAGTCCGTCGATTCCAAACATTCGTAAGTGGCTTTGAACATCCTTTGTTGTCGATACCGTGTTGTCGATACCGTGTTGTCGATACCGTGTTGTCGATACCGTGTTGTCGATACCGTGTTGTCGAGTTTCAGATAGTCCAAACCTTCGCGAATACCATATCCTGACGAGTAAACTGTGTACTTGTATAGTGAGGGCGGGCTGGGGCAGCATGGTGTTTCTTCCATGATCAGGCCGCATACATCGCAAATCCCATTCAGTATTTGGTAGTGCTTCGCCTGGTGATGTTTTGGTTAGACTTTGGTTGTCCCTAGCATCAACACCCTCCTCGAAGTCATCATCAGCACCACCGCCTTTCGCTACCGCAGAAGTATCTTGACCTTTGAGTTGGGTTTGCGAGTCATCACCACGTCCTAACAGTACGTCTCTAGACAGAGGAGAGGGTGGGGCTGATACGTCTCGCTGTCTTCCAGCTCGCGTGGACGCTTTTCTGGATGCCAGGCCGATGTCTCTCGAAGGTTTGTGTGCTCAACCTGAGCCATCGTAAGTCTTGGTTGCAGTAGGTTTCTGACTGTGTGTGCCTGGGACATGGTACAATCGCCTACTCTTGAGTGAGTCTGGCGCCGAGGTTGAAGGTTACCAACATGCTGAGTGTGGAGAGCATCATCATGCGTTGCATGACGTTGCGGCGTCATGCAGGGGCACTTTCAGATCAGCAACTTTTGAATCTCTCCAATCACCCGAAGCCCGACTGACTCCCTTCGCCTGTTGATGATCCTGCCTTTACAGATCGCTTGTATAATACTGTCGGAGTTATAAGTGAGTCTCTGGCATTTCTTCAATTCCTGGTCTCAGGATAAGATGTATTTCTCGTGGTCTGATCTTGTCGATGAGCACTGTACTTGTAGACGAAGTCGCCTAGTTTCCCGAGGCTGGTAGACAAATATCCAAATTTCGAACCTTTGACGGTCAAGTTTGTCAGTGGGCGCGTCCTCGAACTTGTTCCAGTTAGTCTTTGCATATCAGAAAGCATGTAAAACTGCGGTAGACAAGCGAAGAAAGAAACTAGGACGTAGTCTTCGAGGTGATGAGACAATCCCAGGGACGTAGCTTGACGTAAATCGATAAGGTGAACTCATAAAGCTCAATAGCACTCTCTCGATGCATCCTGTCGATCTCTATCTTCATAGAAGTCACCGCTTCTTCCATGAGAAGCAGTTGACGGAATCTTTGATCCTGTCCTTGTCCTGCATCCTGCTCGGCCTGGTTCCAGAAGATGCCTCGACTCCGTTGCAGCGCCTCCCTATAGCCATCAGATTCACCCCAGGACTGTTTGTAAGGGATAGAGCACGCAACTGTAGAGGAAGCTCGTAGCCCGAGCCATGTTCCAAGTTGTCGCCAGTTGTCTGACACTGGTGCTCCTTGAAGCTGTCTTTTGTGCTAAGCTTGCTAGACACACCGAGTTGCAAGCTTTCGAAGTTGAAGTCAAATCAGTAGCCCAAATGATGGCAGCTAGACATGAACTCTCCAATCGGAAATTCGGTAAATATTGCCCATTTCAACATTGAGACTTTTTTCCAATGCCAAAAGCACCTTTGACTCAATGTCTCTCAGTTCCTGTCGTTCACGTTGTAAGGTCCTTCCTAACGTATCTGACACCAGGGCACTGTAGCTCTCGATGAGAGAATTCTCCTCGGCCAGTATCTTCACCAGCCCTTCCACCGGAGAAGGGACAGCTTATATGGGCAGCCCCCAGCAAGGTCAAATTGTCCTTGGCCCAGCATGCCCCCATGCTTTTCCTTTTCCTTTTCCATTTTCCTTTCGGGTTTCTCTCTCTCTTTTTTTTTTGCGGCAAGGATTTGGTGATCCGCTCAAACAGTAGTTAGGCCAGATCGACAGAGATTTGCTGCGTTCCACATGATATGCCCGACATACGGCGCAGATCTCGTTGATTATACTCGTCATGGGACGGGATCCCCGCATAGGGAGCGTTCCTTTCATCCTCTATTAGAAGAGAAACAGTATAAGACCGATCAGTACAATTCCGCACACTGCCAACTCTTCTCTGACTGTTTTGCGTGATCCTAGATCTGCTGGATTCTATCGTCGTATATTGTCCCTGGGGTGGGAGAGGGTCCAGCATATATGGAACTCCTGAGACACGAGTTTCTTCAATGTTAACGTGTCGGTATTTATTGCAATATGGCGCCGGTTTAGATGTCATTCTTCGAGAGAACACACACCACGCTGTTCGTTCATGCCAGAAATACCCATTTTGATCCTCTAGCAAGCCATATGGAAACAGAATCCTATGCCATTTTCCAGTGACTTTTCAGGTCCATTAGGATGCATGGCTTAGAATTCTCATTCAAATGTACTCCAAGGGGACCTTGATAATGCGTCTGAGACATGGAACGCATTGAGTAGTCCGATAACTGACGGTTTCCGTGATGTTAGGCGCCGCATTGTTCGACTCTTTATCAGAGTCGGATAGATGATCAGGTTCGGGTATTGGCTGCACACCCATAGACTAAACCGAGATAGTTGTATAGCATTACTTTGCTCAGTTTCAGTCACGGGATGGCAGGGATAGAAATCCCGAGCTGTAGCAGGCACTTGCGCTGAGGTGACGGTTTTGACCAGAGAGGCCTGCTGTAGATGGCGAAGATGTTTGTTCTGAGCTCGAGCTTGGAGGCTGAGAGTGATCTTGGCGCAGCTAATCACCTCTTCAATCAGACTCTGGCCGAACTCGGACTCCCTTCAGTTTGAACCACAGCTGGGTCTCTTAGGACTCCGGGTCATCGTCGCTGTCTTTGGGGACCTGACTAACGATTTGGTCGTCACTATGTCGGTGTGCTGCCTACGTTATCACCTATGCGTGGCGGCAAGTCGAGGCTCTGGGGAGGACGCTCGTGAGGGCGCTCGTGAGGTCGGATCTGAGCTGCGGCTCTGGATGGCTTCATTGATGCTGTCACAGAGATCCTTTCATTTGCGGGACTTGACTGACATTCGGTGATGCTCATCGTTTTCTGCTTGGGCCTCGTCTCTTGGGCGGCATTTTGAAATGGTGTGCTCTGAGGTTGAATTGTTGACCGCATGCAAGAATCAACCCGGGCAAAACATTCTCCATGGCTCCTTTATTAAAGACCACTTGGGGAACTGCGTTGTGAGGGTCCATTGGTTTCTTCCTTTTTTGTACCAACCGAGGTATCATCGCCATCTTCTTGGCAAGGCATATGCAGTCATACATCGCTTACGGACAAGCCCATGAATGAATTTGTCGATGGGCCTCTGAGACATACCTGCCATGGCTTATCATGACTAGTTAGCTTGTCTTGGCTTTTGGATCGTTACCTGCCGTGCCGAGTCCAGTAGACCGTCGTTCTCGGGCGATTGCTCACCATCCTCACGATCTGCACAGTTGATCTCTATATGCACCGGTTGGTGGGTACGAGATTGGCCATCATGAACGTGAACGAGACTCCTTGAAAGCCTGACCAGAGAAGTTCCAGTGCGACAAACAGGGCTTGGATGAAGTAAGACCAGGCATCTTCAGTAAAACCAATCCAAGCTTCGATGTCAAGATCCTTTTCTACCGGCGAACACTGACAGGATCATTTCGATCCCTACCGGCGGCTCGATTGAAATGATCGTAGCCATGATGAGTAGATGATTACGTTTGATGCTTGATGTGAGGGATGAAGTTTGAACCGTCGCTTTGAGGAACAGATACTGTCGATATGCTAGTGAACTTAATTAAGAAACATTTCGCATTGTATTATACCATCGACTGGCGTGTCTGCTGGCTTCTGGATGCTGTCTGCTGAGTGTCTGAGACTGGCAGGCTATTTGTAGGCTCTGGGGGCGGTGTTGAGTGGTTTGATTTCGCAGTATGCATCTGGCCCCTTTTGGGCCTGTTGTCAAAGTTCTCTCGGCATGAGTCGCTGTGTATATTCATCCTGGATGTTTAGGAACTATTGTAATGAATCCTTAGTATCACAGACTGGTCAGAAAGAGCGTTTACTTACCTCCCTACATAGGAGTCCCTCTTCAAGGCACGGACCACATTTGTCAGGACCATCCCAACATTTCTCCTCGGGGTCTAAGGCCTCTCGCTCTTCGCAATTGATTGCGATTTGGCGTTCACGTTTGTTCTTCGCAATGCCCTTGAGCTTTTCATCGGCATCGCCGCGCTCCGAGGTTGCATTTCTCATCGCGGTCCAGGCTGATTTGAGCTCTCAGCCACGAGTCTCAACTGCAAATAACACATCTAGCTCACAACTAGGGTATAATTATTCGATGGCCTCTTTGTTTCCGGGTTATTGTTTATTTGAGCTTGAAACATGGCCTCTTGATCTGGAAGTTGGTGGCGTTAAGACATCCACTTAAGCCAGTGTCATTACACGACTGAGACGCCAAAGATTGCGAGTCATCCGAAGATACTCACTGATGAACTCGGCGACGGATGGTCGGTCCACAAGAACTGTGGCTTACGGCGTGTCCTGGAACAAAACAAGGCAAGGTTCTTCGCGCGGAGCCTCTTCTTAAGCAAGCATCGGTTGAAGAACAGTGGAGCTAGAACTTGGTATACTTCAGTATCTGACACATCAGAACTTCCAATTTCATCACGTCGAAGAATCTGAGCGGCACAAGTTGGTGGCTCTGCAGAAATCTAATACTTGAGCTTTGTAGGTGTGGGCCGCTTTTCGAGACATGCATCAAGTATGCGCGAGAAGGCACAGATGAAGAGTTGAAGCCAGGCCAGTTCACGTTGGCACGCGTATGGCCTGGGATACCAAACTCTGAGAAAATCACAGAGTCGAGTGAGTTGAGGGCTCTATTCTTCTCAGTCATGAAACAGTAGTGACATGAGGAAATCCATATAAGTATCTCCTCCATCCTAATCACCGCCATCCGAGGTGATGTTCGAAGGCACTCGTTACATGTTCAAGTACATGTTGAGAGGAATAGCATGGGTACATATTCCTCACAAAACTTGCACTTGTGAGAGGTCAGAGGCGTCTTATATAACATCTTTCCGCTACTGGCTGTTGCGGTTTGGTGTAAGTGAAAGAGACAGTTTGGTTCTCCTGGTGTTATCGCTCTTTTCGACAGTCACGCAATGACTAGCAGCCATAGCTTCCGGTGTCTCCAGTCTTTGTATAAAGGAGACACTGCGGACCATTCGTAGTGATGTAGTTGGGACAGGCCTCTAGTACCGAGCAACAGCGCACAGCAATAGTATCTTTTCCCGCTTCTCAACAACATTATCTCGTGCAATGCCGATGAAGCGACCCCAGTCTTGCTGTTGACTCTCATCTGTCATGCCTCAGTACCTTTTGAGGAAAAACAAAGCTACATGACGACAGCAACAAAACAAGATAAAATAATATGAGAATCAAAGTAAAGACTCACGAAAAGCAATTTCATGGAGCTTGATAGGCGTAAGTAAACGGGTGATGAGTTCAGGGGTGGCATCGCCAGTCGGCGCACCGACGAGGTAAGAAGCCATTAGGACATCATCACATATAGTTCGTCAGTTTGTCATGTTTGCATTTCAAAGTACTTTATTCGTTCTGTTTTTGCATGACCTCTTCGATGATGAGCTTTCTTTTCGAGACGAGTTCTTTTTCTCTGGCTCCATAGCTCTTCAGCCTTTTGGGGGCGGAAAATATGTTTATTTGAGATCTTATCATCTTGGGCTGCCGCACAGAAAGCAAAGGTAATATCCCTCAGATGTCCCGAGTACCACTATATTATGCCTATCATCAGACAAGTCTTAATAGTAACTGGTGTGAAATGTGTTTGGAGGCCGAGTCCCGATTTGGCCGCCACTACGTCGGCGTTCTGCAAAGGCAATTCGTTGCGCGGCTGCGTTGTAGGTTTGGTTGACCAGCTTCACGGTTTTTGGGCGGATACAGGCGTCGTTAGTTTGGACGCGTTCGGTCGATCTCCCACCCTGAGTTGCCTGAGTTAGTCATCTTAAATGCTCGTGCTGGCCAAGCAAGTATCACAGGGATAGTCCGGGTGTTGACTTTGATGGACTACAAAGGATTTGACGAGAGGGGACGCGGATGATTATCTTCCGTTCCGTGCATGGCGTATCCTGGATAGATCGGGCCGCCTCAATAACCGCCATGAGAGGTAGTGTCTGCGTCGATGACAGTGTAGGCAGCGCGCTGCTCTTCCAGACTCACTCACTGTGCACGCTCGCGTGTCTCAAAGCGCTTCTGGAAGCCTTCATATGAGTAACAAGTATCACGGTCTGTGACACCCTTATAGAAAGTCCCGTTGCCAATTGCCTGCGTTCTTCGTTCTTGAAAGCTTCCTGGTAGCCTCTGCACTGTTCAGCGTTCGGGGGGTCAGCCCCGGTGTCTACCAAGCATCTTGATTCTCTCCTCCACCGTCGCCTTGTCTCCCCTGGGTTCGTCGTAATCAGTTGGTAGGAGGGGACGAGAAATTCCGTAAGAGTCGATGTCTGCTACCACTGTCGGCGGGGCGACTTGCGAAGCGTTGTTGCCGTCAGCTTTTCCTCGGCCTGGTCACATTCGCCTCCGATGAGTTTGTCGGATTCCGCACGGGACAACGCGAAGCTCTGATTCTTGCTTCTTCAGATAAGCTAACGAAGCACCAGCGTCTGCCAACCTTTGAAAGTCTCCTTTGTATGGCAGCTTGGGCGAGGAGGGAGCGCAGAGAGGACCCTCTTCCCCTTCCTTGTCCTTGTCTGTGGCTCGCTCCACGCCAATGCTTTCAGCAAATTCTCCTTCGGTGAGCTTGAACAAAGAGGTCATATCAAGAGACCTTGCTTGAGCTCATAAAGAAGTATCCTTTGAATCCTGATTCAGTTGGTGCTTGTCAGCCATCTTCGCAAAAAGCACGACGGTCTTCTTCAGGCGCTTTTCGACAATACGAGGAAACTCCTCCTCTTTATTGCCTTGACCAGCGTACCTCGTTTATAACAATAGCGGCGAACTCACTCCTATCCCACTCATCTCGGGTTTGGTGCATTCTTGCCGCTATTATCGGCCTTCAGTTCACGGTGAAGCTAAACTCAGGCTTCGTGGACTTCGAGTGCTGCAAATCTCTCTTCTTTTGAGGTTGAAGGGAACGAAGTGGACTGGGGCTGGCGATAATTTCAGGGCCAGCCGCAGTCGGTGTGAATGCAGGTGCACTACGGGATCTTTTCTTGTTCTTGCCCGGCTGCCAAAGTACCTCGTTCAGCCATAGGTCGAGCTTTGTTCGGCCATGTGTTATTCTGGGTCAGGTTGATAGAACTAGGGCAGTATTTCCTTTTCTCTGAAACGTGGTTTTGAGCCATTTCGGCAATGGTCTGGGTTTTATGTGTTGTTTCTCAGGTACGAGCCGTGCGGTTCAAGGAGCTTGGGGCGATATTATGTTGGGGCCATAGCTGCCACCCCTGTGCGTAGTTGCTGATGTGCTGTCCGCATATCTTTGTTGGTGAATTGTCTGCACATCTGTTCACGTACTGGGTGTCTGATCGTGGCTTTCAAACGATGAATAGCCTTCTGGGCCTTACCTTGGTGAGATTGAATCAGATTGCCAGCCGGAGCCGGCGCTCATTTGTTCTTGGTGATAGGTCTGGATCTGGGCCTCAATTTGAGGGAGAGGCTTCAACGAAAGGTCAGAATGCTCAAGGGTGAAGGAGCTTTGAAATATCTAGGGGCCAACCCCTCGCATATACGCGGTGAGATTGGGGTTTGGGGGGCTCATGGGGTAAGGATTCGCTTGATTGCGCCACATGGGTTCCTGTACACTGCCATGGGTTGGCTTCCTGCGGTATGTTCACTATAGGTGCAGATCTTGGCGACGACCAAGTTGGAGGATGGACACTAGTAGCGACTAATATCCTTTGAGGAAAGATCACTGGCCCGCCTGATCTGATCATTGAGTTTTTCAAATTCAAATCGGTGCTCGACGCTCTCTTCTGAACGGTGAGGGCGCCTCATATGGGTGACGAGAATTGCATCTTCCTTGAAGTTGGAGACAAGCCCCAACCGCGCCATCCTTGCTTTTCCAAGTGTCCCTCTAGGCGAAGGCCATGATATCGTGATATGGAATCTTTGGTACATCGATAGACAGATGGAAGTCTCTTCAGACTCTTCGATGATGCGAAAGCTGAGTTCGGGGGGAAGAAACAGGAGGCTTCGACGTGTAGTGCCACCCGTAGGCTGATAGGAGACAAATATTATCTTGATAATTCCCCCTCCCCTTTGCATTATGCTGCTTCTGTGATTTGAAGAACATCCACCGCTGTTTCTGCTCATTCAGATGCATGCTTTGCTAGAGAGTGGCCGTCTTATCTATGAGCTCGTTGGACTCATATGTTCTTTTTGCAAGAGCTCTTAGATTTTGATGTTGAAGCCGATTCCACGTGGTTAACCCTAGCCTACGAAGCTGGGGTTTGCAAGACGAAGGCGAGGATCAGGGCCTCCAAAGATGAATGGCTCAGCCAAACCATCACCACAGCGAGGATTTGATACCTAAGTCATTAGCTAACCTCAACTTCGAATAACCTATTCCTCAATGATGCACATTGGGAAATCGTGAAGTGGTCGAAGCACCTGCCGGGGTCTCTCCAACTTCATGCATTCTGAAATCCACGGCGGTTCATCGAACTCCGCTTGAGTCCCCTCAGCGCCGTTAACGTGATACCGCAGAGCTGTCTCTTTTCGACCTTTTCCGCAACTTCATTCAACTCTGCACCAGAAACGCGCTTCAAAGCCTTTCCTATCAGTTGGGTCGTATCGAGGTAGATTGGCAAAGGAATAGCCTTCAAGATGATCCTTTCGCAGGCTCACCTGGAGCCTGTCTCTCGTCTTGTTAATGGCAAAGCTTTACTGTATATTGATAGTTAGGTCGAATTGTTCATCTTTGGAGCCCTCAACATCATTCTCAACATCCGCGGCCACAGCCACATTAATATATATCGAGGCAGCTGGGTAAGAGACTGATGAAGAAGCGGTTCTTCGAGCTTGCCATTGTCAGTGCGCAAGAGGTCCATCAGCTTGTAATCCATCCGGTCTGCAAGACATGCAGGAACTGGGTTATCTTTATAAATGCCGATGTTCAGTATATTGATAGGATTGCTCTTGTTGGCTCTTTTATAGCGAGCAATTGCCCCTTAGATTCTTTTCTCTCTAGGGTGCCTGATTTCTCAGTATGGCGAATCTCTTGCCGTCATCTGACTGGTCACGAACGAAGCTATCGTACAACAGGACGGCACTTGAATCGCGGGGATGGGGTTTCTTTGCAGGTGGATTCATTGATGAACAAGCCAATGATATCGTGCTCAGGTCAAGACAAGCAAGCTCATTCCTGGTGGAGCGAAGGTTTTGTCAATCTTGACACGTCGGGCGTACCAGCATGAGCCACCACAGCGTCGTCGTCCTGAGAACTCTCCGAGCCTGGACTAAACTAAACAATCCAATGTAGATTTATTTGGGCGGGCGTATATCTTATAGATCTAGACGAAAGCCGCCTGGAGGACTTCAATCTCCTTTTCCATTGCCATTTGATTGCAACGATATGCGAGGTTTCGTATCATTCCAAGAAGTGAGATTCCGAGTGCCCGAGCGTCATCACTCTTCCCAGAATTTCTGCCGTATCTCTCCATTTAGGGCGACCAGTAGGAGCAGGTTCCGTAAGTTCGTTGCCGTGGGTTAATATGCTCAACCTTCATGACTTCAGCGTAGTCGCCGAGAGGTGGGGGTGCTCATTGAGTGACATGCTCTGCTGTAGAGACACCATCTCACCAATGAGATCCTTGAATTGCTCCTCCGTTTACTCCTAGGAGCCAGTCCCAAGCTGCGGTGCATCTTTGGCACCTTTTGGGGAGACGGCCCGCGAAAGGGGTCTGGAGAACTGGTGGTAGGTTCAGATCGGACCCCGGTGGACTGAAGGGAATGTTCTGTTGTCTTGCTGAAGTTGCTGGCTAGCTCTTGGAGGCGGAACTTTCCCATTAAACCTGATCTGTAGTCCTTCCTGCGTAGGGGTTTGGGTGCGCCGAAACTGAATCACCCGGTGGTGATTATTGAAAGGGTGATTCCTCATCGATCTCAACGTCACTTAAATCGGCGGTGATGACAGTTGAAGCGATGTAAGACTTGAAAAAGTCCTCAATCGTCTCGAAAAGCTTCCATTCGTATCCAGCCCGTGACACCATTTCCTCACAGTTATGATACGAGCCTAATCGAACTCGCCGACTCTCAGTCTGTTGTGCAGGGTTTTGAATGGGAATACCACAGGGAAGGGCAAGCATGGGCAAAGCATCTCCCAACGATCTTGCCGGCAGGCTTGGGTTCGGGTACTTTGCAGGGTCTAGATACGGGAGACAATACGTATGCCCGCCTGGAGAGTTGCAGCAATTCGTGTTCACCAGATTGGGATCCTTTGAGTCACGGATTGTTAAGATCACCGAAATCTTTTTGACCCATTTAGGCGTCCATTGAAGTACTGGTACTTCCAGCGACCGTACTGCAGAATAGCAAATCCGGTGAGGCGGACAGCATTGTGAATGAATTTACACGGTGGCTGGGATCATGTCTTCTACACCAATGACAAGTCTTCCGAAACTGTTGAGAAGATGTTGTAGACTGTTGCTAAGACGGCAGAGAAACCCAGGCTCTTCAGCGTTTGGTTCGATGTGAGGCTGTGGACGAGCCTCGCCGCCTTGTTGTGTTTGAGGTTGTGGGAGCGGTAGATGGACAGGTTCGACTCTAATCCGCATCCTGGCTCACGATCGGAGGCAATAAGGTCTAAAAGAAGAAATGTTCCTTTTCGGAGAGCCACTGATCTGACCTGAACCTGGGGTCCTTCTGAGAGTCTCCCCAAAATGCAATTGATGGAGCGTCCCGAAGTGACAGCTTAGAGGGCGTTTGCTGGTGAAGACATGATGATCTCTACATCCTCGTCGTCAGAGATAGTATTCAGATTCTCCCAGCCTCAATGTCATCGATGCGTTCCAGAGCCTGTTCGTAATTTTTGTCGACGTTCCATTCAACTAAATTGTAGGGTCTCTTGTACGTCCATGTGTTTTGTGATGCCTTTTCGAATATTGTTCTTAAGGTCTGGAGATCGAATTTGGGTAGACCATTGCCCCCTTCCTCTGTGATCGCGGTGCGGGCTGGGCTCATACCCTGTGTAAGCAGCATCTATCCGGTAACATCTGTGCTGCTGAGAAATGGCTGGAATGGGAGGAGTCTTCAAGGGCAGCCTTGTGACGCCATGCCGGTTGAGAAGTACCAGAGTCCGATCTCGTACTCGTGCTGGTTGTTATCACCATTGTATACTTGCCCTGAGGTTATATTTTGCATGAAGTCGCTGTACTTGATACTCTTCTGTTGCATGAGCCTGTGGCGTGCTTGGAAACTTTGTGCTTGCGTTTTCGTATCACGTAGGAGCAGCTCTCGTACTGTGAGGCAGAGGGCACGAAGTGCTAACGTTGGTGTCGGTGTCTCCGTTGATCATGTCGACTATCAGAACTTCAAACTCCTCCATCTGTCTGATCATGCTCAAGAAGACTCTTTGACTGTAGGAGCCCAGGGTATGCCTTACACATCCGCTGAAAATCGGACTTTTTGAGTGCTCGAGCTTGCAGGCTCATTCTGGTCTGAAACATGGGCTTCCCGGTAAGCTGCACCGTTACGGATGTTGAGCTTGGTTCTCCATCATGAAACTTCAGACTCATTCTGGTCAGAAGGGCATGAACTCCCTGAGCTTGACTAGAGGTTGTGCTCACCGAAGAGCTCCGAGGGGTCAGAAGCGGCTGCTGTATATTTTCGCTACTTGGCCCGCTGGATTTCCGCTTTGTATCTCGACTTGATCAAGATGGATCACTTTGATTCCTCTTCTTCCAGCGGAGGGATCTTGTTTTGCCGACACTTAGTACCCAAATCGATGCCTGCGAGGTGCCTGGATCAGATACTGAGGGCAGTGGTGCTTCTCACAATCTCTCGTGTCTTGGTCGCCTTTTATCAAGGACTCACGGGCCTGAAACGGCTCTGGGATTCATGTCCTTCGGTGTAAAGCTTCATCAACGCCACACTGGTCAAAGCCATATTGTGGTTTCTCATATGATATGTAGACGAGACTTGGGACTGCGGTGGTCTTCTGTCCATGCAGTAGGTGGCATAGCCTTGAACAGACCAGTGTCCCTCACTTGAGACGTAGGCATCCCTTCGGCAGCTGAGATCTAAGTAGTGAACTATGAAGTGGCCGAGGCAGTAATGCAATCCAGCAAGGGAGAGACATGGTGGATGTGCTTGGTCGGTAGCGGTGCCCAGTACTGGATTGGGTTGGTGAGAATGTTGACGAGACTTTGCAGACCCCAAGCCAACAGTACTTTGTTGTTGTTGAGGTCTAAATAAGGCTTGGCGAGTCCCAGGGGCCATTTGATCGTCTCCCCGTTGTGGCCACACAGTAGAAGGCTAGGTTTGACTGAGTGCCAGAGGCCACTTGCCACAATGATAAGCTGGGACAAAACAACCCCTAACGCTCATCCCAACAAGTGTAGTTCTGGTAAACGGGTGGTGCCCCCACTCCTGGTGGTCCAGGTACGGCATTGTGCTTCTTGTGGAGGTCCAACAACAAGAAGACCCATCAGATACTAACAAGGACTGGACACCGTCATCCACTTCCCCATGCCATGGCTGTCTGTATGGGGCCCTGTGTTGTGGCCACCTTGGGACATGAGCGCCGAATCAGTGGCAGCTTGCCACTTTCCAACGTCTTCGGCCGATCCTGCTTGTCGGTAAGCATCAAAGGTCTCGATGCTTGTCAACAGGCAGTTGAGCCTAGTCCTCCAGGCTTCTGGGTCCTGATTTAGGTTAAATATAATGAATGCAAAGAGAGTAAAAGGTGTAACATACCACCAATTGTCTGTGTCGATGACAATCTGTCATCTTGTAAAGTCTCTTGATCATCCGTCCAAGGCATGGAATGCATGGAGTTCCTGGCTTGGAGGACGATATAGACAAGTGACATTACCAGAGTCAGACTTGAAGAACCTGAGCCTTACCATAGTAAGTGATAACAATGATTTGAAAGCTATGCCAGAGCATAGTCCCCGTCATCAGCGTATCTTCGAGGGTGATGGGTGCGTGAAGTGTGTTGGGGGCTGGATGAACAAGCCCCCTAACCCCATCCCTCAAGAAGAATGGTAACTCGCCTTGGCAAAGCTAAACTTGTCAAGTCAAATGGTGAAAACTAAAAGAAACGATCAACGAACCTTTGGGTCATCTCTGGAGAGACAGACCAACCGCTTCCCGCAACGAACTTTCGTCAAGCTCGTTGTCGTCAAACATTGTCGTCGGCGGTGATAGTAAGCGGGTCGATGGTGAGGGAGTCGATGGCAAGAGAGCCGTCAACCCTGGCATCAGAGCCATCATATATTCTAACTCCCTTCAGCAGACGAAGTTGAAACATCCGGCAAAACAAAAGACTCAGCACCAAGGTCAGAGACCGAGAGCATCGTCACAAGGGGGTTGCCCCAGCACAACCGCGAGGGAAGCCCGGGGCGGGATAATTGAAGAACAGAAATGAAATCGGGAAGAAGAAGAGGTTATATATCTGGACGACAAGTCCGAGCTCTTCATTACATCAACTTTTGATGGGCTAAGAGAAAAGAGAAAACTTCTTGTGTCCTAAATGTTGAGTTGTGCTTGATGAGGTGACATGCCTTGCCGTGTGGCGGAGTGTTGTATTGACGGGAGCTGTGGTGTATTCAGGCATGTTCCCGTGAGATATCAGATTTGATATCGCATCTATCACATCACATCCCGAGACTGAGCAATTAACGCTTCAATCTTTGTACACGCACTTGGAGCCGTGAGAGATGAGATGCAGCCAAACAAGCAAAAGTCCTTGATTCCCAATTTTTAAACCACTGCAAATATCAGAGATCACAGTCCAGGTTGCCCACCCGCTTCCACTCAGGCCAGGCTTCCCAACATTCACACCGGCGGGAAATGACACACTCAACCGTTTGAACAGCCGTCAGAACTCAATTCTACCAACAACTCACAGGTCAATGGCTCTCAGCCGTCCCTGCCACGTCACAATTCCTCACGCAAAGACCCTTTAATGACGGATAATGTGATACATTCAAACATTCACCATCCAAAACCGTCATCTAATTATGAATCGAACAAATCACAACCCAAGCTTAAACACCCCGGCCCCGCCTCCCTCCCGTCCCTCCCGTATCTCCACTCCCCAAAAGCCTCCGGTCGCCCCACAATAAGCCTCCGAACGTCCGTCTCACTCATCATCAGCCCGTTTTCTCAAAAACTCATCACCAAAACAAACAATGCACACGCACCCGAATCAAATTCGCTCAGCATGCGAGCGCTGTCGCCGGCAGAAACTGCGCTGCTCACGGTCCCTCTCTTCGCCCTCATGCGCCCGCTGCACCCGTCTCGGCCTGACATGTCAGGCCGGCCTGCAACGACGCGTCGGCAGACCGCCCAAGAAGGACATGGTGCTTCACAGGCCTGCTGAGGATATGCAGTTTGTTCAAGCGCTACTGGACGACACGGCTTGGAATCTTGATCCGTTTTGCGGGTATACGCCTGAAAGTCTCCCGTTTCCCATGGATGCGTGGCCTTCTGTGTCAGAGCTTGATCCACCCGAGATCGAGCAAAAGATCATAGTACCCAGTATGCAGGTTTTCGAGAAGTTGTCGAAACTTAATGTCGATATCCACCGGGGATGGGAATTCGTGTCGCAGCTTGAGAATGACTTTCGGTTGAGTGCGTTTGTGTGTGAGGATCGGGAGAGGCAGAATGGGTATCAGAATATCCAGGTGGTTTTGAAGGCGGCGCAGGAGTACCTTGTTGTCCTCAAGACACTGCATCGGCAGCTCGGTATACGGACTGTGTATTGCCAAGGTCGCAAGCCACATACAAACAGGATGATGCTGTCCCTTGAGGCAAACACGGAATCTCCTGAGTCGATAGCTTCTTCGTCGGGTGAAGCGACACCAACATCCGGAAGCACTACACCCGAGCTTCCCCCTATATTCGACTCACCGACCATGTTTCTAATAATATCTTGCTACGTGCAACTCATCAAACATCTTGAAGTTGTACTCAGGATCATATTCAACTCAATATCAGATCCACACCAGGACCTCATCGATGCCGCTCCCATGTCGTTTGCCGAAGTACCTCTGATCGAGCCGTCAACCCAATTCGTCCTCTTTTCCGAGATGTTTCGCCACATAATGAGTCAGATGAATCTTCTCATGGGACTCCCTAGTGCATGGTCAAGCAAAAGCGCTTGGACAGGTCTGTTGACTAATCAGCGTTATCGGGATATGCTGAATACTGAGCTAGGAGATGTGGAGGATGGGTGGACGACGCGGCCAGGCAAATTGATGGAGATTAATAGGATAACAAAGGATATGTTGGACGAATTCACCATGATGGGGATTTACTGAACAATTTCCAGCTGGCTCTGCTATACAGGAAATGAGGAATTACAGAAGCAACTTCGTAGTGTAGGAGTAAGTCGTAGACGTAGAATTCGGATCTAAGGTGCCGGTTCATGGGGGAATTTATACTCTAAGTTAATCTAATCTCTTTAACGATAATTCATGGCTGAGCACTCTGGTGTTGATGTGCTTCGTCGTCCTCCTGTAGCATCAAAGTGCTGGCTCTTGTAGCCCAAATCTCAGTGCTAGCCTCAACTCCTCGCAAAAGCCAAATAAAATCCATGCAAAGTCATTATAGGGACATAGAAAAGGTGAATTCAAAATTGTTGCTGCCAGCTGCGTCAAAGACGAACGGGAAGTTGATAGCCACGTCGAGTGGGAGGCTATCGGCAACAGGACGCGATACCGTTGGCGTCGATCCTCGTCGGTTCGTCCTTGATAAAGTGTGCTCCTCGCTATTGGCTCTCTTATTTCTTCCTTTCTTAACCGGTGTCGCCAATGCCTTCTTTGGCTCTGACGGTGGTTCAACATTCCATTCGCAAGCAAGAACACTAAACTCGACCTGCTCTGGGTTCTTGTGGGCGCTCAGGCTGCTCGACTTGGCGTATTTGACAAAGTTCTCCTGCAGCCAGGATTTGACTTCAAGAACTCGGGAGCTGATAGTCCAATCTTGCGTGTCCGCTTCGAAGTAGCTTCTGTTCCCACCCTCGAACCTGCATGTGCCTGTTTTCGCTTGAATGAGGTCAGCTATTGTCTCAAGCCTCTGACATCTATCGCTTACCTTTCAAGTCTCTCTGGAACCCGTAGCGATCTGTGGCAGCATTGAGGTCGGATTTACGTAGAATGAGGTAATCGACAAAGAAGAACTGCTCCAGATTGGGGAGATATTGAGCCAAGAACCTGTATAAGTGTTTCGGGTACCTGACTCTATCAGGAGTGCTGTGGATTAGGCCGCAGTTTGGACATCGCCTGGGCGATTGTTTCTCATACCATTTGTGGCAATATCTGACCGCGACCTTTCGAATTTGATCGAGCCCTGAGCAGTTCAGAACCTTATTGAAGCGTATGCTGTCTTCGTAGACTTCAGGTGGGACGTATTCAAGGTAGATGACATCCGAGGGGGAGTTGAGGCTAACGATCCGGCCAGTGTTAAGGCGGAAAGTCGTAGACCGATTTGTGAGGGACTTAGCTACAGCGGCAGCTTCATTGCATGTGACAGAAAGTTTGGCGAGCTGTTGATGGAGATTCGTGTAATAAGAGATGTCGGCTTGGGGAGTGGGGTAGAGAGGCTTCAGTGTACCGTACACCTTTGCAGTAGGGCGAGCTTCTTTTCTGACCTCGAGCGCCACAGAATCAACGTCATCATCGTGATCTTCAGCACTTGCGTGGAGGAAAATCGGCTCTTTGAGCCACCATTTCCCAAGCCCTGTTGCCGGGTGCCAGTCGGTGTCGATTTTGAGAAAGTGCATGCCGGGAGTCTCCAGGGTAGCTTGCCATATCTGGGCACGTATCTCTGGCGGCAGGCGAGGAAAAGGCGAGAAGGTGCGGCAATCTTCAGGTATTCGAAACTTGAGAGGAGTCTCTATTGATTGTATAGGTGCCTCTGTAGAAGGGTCTGTATCCTTTGATGCCGGGGGATGTTGGATGGTGACGCCATCGTGGGCATTAGCAATTTCGGGAGCACTCATGATAGCCGTGGGCCATGAGCTTATCGCTATCTCGCGATCATGAAGGAGGGGTGTAGATTAGAAAGACGGACGGTCAAAAGAGCGAAGACGACGCAACAAAAGCGATCGGCGGAGCAGTATGAAGTGAAGAGAAAGTGAAGATACAGAGTATCGATGGTGTTGCAGAAACAAAAATGATGGAGTGAGGTTGGAGAAGTAGCGGAAGCCTCATATCAATGGCCAGTGAGTAATCGGGACGTGATGGGCGGGGAAGCAGGCAGTCACAGCCAGTCTGCCACCTCCCGTCAGGTCGGGTAGGAGAAGGTGCTGGGTGCTGGGTATGCAGAGTTCAGCCGCTAAACAGGCAGCTCAGCGCCACAACGCACCAGTATCAGCGCTGCCTGGGCTAGGTAGTTTCAGCGGATGAGGGGCTGCAATTTGTGAAATATCATTAATGCATATTGCTTGAATTATCAGATTCATTTGCTACGCTTTGACATGTATGTCCTGCGATATCTCTTGCCTCGTGATTTGGCTTGTGTAAAGCGCTTCACCGCATTTACCCTGATGATTCAATGCTTCGGAAGATGCGCCAACCAACGCATGCCACCGCACCTTGACGGGTCATATCGAGCTGTCAGGTGAGAACCTAATTCGATTTTATTGCCTACAATTCGTTATTTCACTTGCTAAGGCTTATAACGGCATTTTTTTACTATTTGAATTGAGATATAAAGCTTAGATTGGCGCAAGGTATCGTTGCTGCATTTTTGAAGCTATACGTCAGATCTCCATCTGCGTACGACATGAGATCCATGGCTGGCTTTTTGTGACACGCCATTATAACCGCTGAGAGGAAGACACTTTCCTCAACATTATAGATGATGAAGTGAGCAAAATAATCAAAAAAATCAAATTGCGCAGTCTTATGCATTAAAGTAGTTTGTCTGCGGCGTTCCACTTTCAAGGCATCTAAAGGTAGAACAAACACACAGATCACAAAGCAAAAAGTAGAGGATGAGGTAGATAAGAAGCAAACGATCATATTAAGCGGCAATTACGATCATCTAACGCAATTGTACTCCGTAGTCTACCTATAATTTTCAATCCAAGCTCTGCCGTATTGTCTCCAAGCTAAAAACTAACCTTCAGCGATTAGTATCCAAACTTCTGCCCAACAAGCTCCTCACTCAGCCTCCACAACTTCTCAGCCTCAACAGCATCTCGCGCCCAAGCCTTGACAGTATCAACAAAAGGATCAGCAACCCTCGCCTCCAAGAGATAAGCGCCGTTGCTTGCTATTTGATATTAGTATTTATCCATACACATTTGGAAATAACATCTCACCTTTGATGTTGGGGTCAAAAGCAGCAAATGCATGGGTCGCAGCGCCGACTTCTACGGGAACAGGGGGGATGGCTGTCCACCCTTCAGAGTTACCACGTGCGCGATGAGATTTGACTGGGTTTGTTAGCTAGAGAAGTGGGAGTATGGAGTATGTTGAGTTGACTTACTGAAAGTGCCGAGATCAGCGTCCATGCTGGCAAAGTCTAGATGTGTGCCGAGACCAGTTGATAGGATGAGGCCGGGGTGAACACTGTAAGACTGAAGACCACGGCTTCCTAGCTTTTGAGCCAAAGATACGGAAAAGAGCATGTTTGCAGTCTTGGATTGACCGTAGGCACTCCATTGGTCGTAAAGCTCGCCGTCCTGTTGAAGTTAGTATGGTACAATTTGCAAGATTAGATGACTTACACTGAAGTGAGGATCAGCGAAGCGAATAGGACCAAGACTGTGACCATTGCTCGAGATGTTGACAACGCGAGGTGACTCCGAAGCAAGAATCTTATCCATGATCAAGTTCGTCAAAAGAAAATGTCCAAGGTGACAAATAGCAAACTGCATCTCATAGCCATCCACACTCTTAGTATACGGAATAGCCATGACTCCAGCATTGTTAACAACGACATCAATGCTAGGCACATCATTCCAGCTGTTGACCTCCTCAGCGGCCTTTTGCACCGAAGCTAAAGAGCCGAGATCTACTACAAGAGAGCGGATCTTGACGGAAGGGTTGGCTTTAGTGATGGCTTCAGACATTTCTTGGAGTTTAGAGGCGTTGCGGCCTGCGAGGATGAGAAGAGATGGGGATTTGGAGGCGGTCTCTAGGATGAAGGTTGCACCGAGACTATTGGGTGTGACACCGGTTGTGAGGATTGTTTTGCCCTTGATTATGTCGGCATATTCGTTGACGAGGTCGTTGGTGGTGGTTGAAGTAGAGTGAGGAGACATGGTGATTGAATTGATAGCTGATGAATGCTCAAGTTGTGTTTTGTAGTGTTTTATCGAGTGTATGTTTTGAATTGAGAGTGTCGATGATGATATGTCTTTTCAAGTGGGAATCTCCCACGATATTTATACTGAAAACCATTTCTAAAGTCCGAAATTGATATTGTTGAGATTGTATGGTGCATACGAATAAAATGAAGTGCGGTGTTGCAGTACATCGCGGCTGGCGTCAGCCATCGGCGTAGGAGGGGCCGATGCTGACGCTTTTTCGCCAACATGTCCGAAAGCAAAGGTTGTCTCAATCAACTCACAATATGATTGGCCTTTCGGACTTTAGAGCAAGGGTATTATCGTACTGCATGATGACGGCAAAGGTGCATCGATGCGTTTATAGATCCCTTTTTGGACTAGAAAGTGCATAGGATGAAAGGCCTGGAGGAACCATTTGAAGCTGCCCTAAAGTCCGCCAATGAGGTTCACGAGCGGTTTCATCAATCGCATCGGAGACACTGAAAAGTACCAGATTTCTATTACAAAATCTCTCCCAATTTTAGAGTAATCCCTCCGGTTTCTCAGTCTATTGATAGTTTGCTGCGCCGTCGTGGCGTATGCCGCCACCAGAGGATAGGCAGAGTAACTGCCCCAGAACACACTGTCACCAACAACTTACGTGGTATTGGGAAAAACATCGCTTTTACTTCTTTCTTGATTTCTGTGGAGGAGATCTAAAGTCCCTATATGTACAGTGAAAGCAAGTCTATACCTTCTTTTGCCATATAACACCTTGGTATCCGCTTCTATCCCAACGCCATCCCATAAGTGCAAACCCCATATACACACATATAACCATCAACTCTTCAACTCTCATTACCTAAGACAACCTCCCACTCCTGAAGTACAGTCGGTTCTTGCACTGCACCTCCTGAAATCCCACTCAGCCACGCCCTGCACGCTTCAAGGTGCGCATACTCTGCATCATCGTGACCTCTTAAACCCTTCATCTTGACATCCGCGACTTCCAACACGCTTCTACCTGCTGCATCACGAACGTGAACACATGCACCGCTCTCAACGAGTTGTTTGACAGCGAGTTTGTGACCGCAGCGAACAGCTACGTGTAGTGCTGTTTCGCCTGATCGGTTTCGAGCGTTGACTTGTGCGCCGGAATCGATGAGTTCTCGAATGATATCGGGGCCGACTTTGTAGTCGTCATCTTCGGGGAGTTGAGCGACGAAGGCCATTAGGGGTGTGTTGCCGTGGATGTCGCAGTGGTTTGGATCGACGCCTGCATCGAGGAGATTCTGGAGGAGAACAAGACGGAATTGTAATCTATCGGTGCACGAGTCCGAGTTCTTAACAGTCTTGTCCCTTCTGCGTCTTCGGTCGATTGGCGCACCGTTCTCATCGAGGTAGTACTTTTGCGTGATACTGGTTTCACTGAGTGTGGCGGCTGCGAGACAATGGAGTCCATTACGACCCTGATTGTCTTCGAGTCGAGGGTTGAGTTCCGCATCATTGATGTACTTGAGGAGTTGTGTCTCCTCGTGGATATCGTCAAAGTGCCAAGGATCAGCGATGCTAGCTTGTCGAGACATTGGTACTGGAGCGTCGACATCCATAGCCTGTGTGCTGGCTCTACTGATACCCAATCCAGGCTCGGGGATGGCTGAGTAGGTAGGTGTTACGTTGAAGGCGTCCCTCTTCTGATAGCTAGTCGCACTGCACAGTCCCAGTGCATAATTGCGTAGCTCAGGTGGTGTGACCCGCAATAAGAGAATATGCGAGAATGAGCGTCCATAGCAGTCGCGCGCACTGAAGTCGAATCCTTTGTGGGCGAGTGCATCCAACAACTGCTTTAGCAACTTCTGATTTTGAGGCAGAAACCACGTAGTGTGCAATACATGAAGGAGTGTCTGGCCCGCTGTATTCTGCACATTCAGGACATCGTTGGCCTCAACCGAGATGATCGCTTGAAAAAGGTAATCCGACAAGAATCGCGCAGCCATGAGATGAAGTGCCGTATGTCCAAACTGATCGCGCTCTTCAAATAATCTACCATGGATGGCAGCTGATAATGCATTGGTGCCAGTTTGGGTAGGGCCATGTGCTGTGATCCAAGCCGGCTCTTCGATCTCGTGAATAGGGCGGCAGAAACAAGCCAATTTTTGATGGATCTCATCTTGCGGAAAACATGTATAGTGGGCAAATTCGTCGAGGCAGAGGAAGTTTCCGGGGAGGTAGTAAGGTCCCATGGGCAAGTGAACTGGTGCGTCACGATCGTTGAGCCATGATGCCACACTCGGCTCCTCGTCCGAGATGGGAGATAGACTGGTTCCTCGACGGTTGAGGGGCGCTGTATATCGCTTTATGAGGCGCTTAACAGTCTTGACGTACGGATGTGAATAGTCATTGAGTATTTGCCGTAAACTCCCGGTAGTGCAGTCCGTCGACGTAGTCATGAATGTAGGTCGCTGTAAGAAGTTTCGAAACGTACTGTTGTCCTCCTGATTTTGTTGGATTTGTCTTTGAGCGGCCGTTCCATTATTTGGGACATATTGCTGCGGATATTGATTAAAGGGGGGAACCTCGAGCGAAACTCTGGTACCGGGATCTCGAACAAGATGCGGCGTTGGGATAGCGTTGAGAGCTGGAATAGGTCCAGAAGCTTGAGTTGGAGATGCGACGGAATTATGGGTTGAGCTGGTGCGTGTAGGAGAAAGAGCCAGCTCTTC